ACGTTAAGTGGAAAAAAGAACATAGACTAGTGTTTAAACACTGGTGTTTAAGGATGTGTGTGTATATTAACAAAGATTGGAGCCCAGTTTGGAGAAATGAAAATGGCTGGAGTTCCTCGTTCACTGGGTCTTTTTTCCTGCACAGATCCATGAATTTATGACAATAACAGTTGAGATTCCATGCAATATGGCTATACTGAAAGTTTTCTGCAGTATAAGTATTCCGAGTTATACCAGACTATATATTCCAAGGAATAATTTAATGCTAAATTCTTATAAAATTATTATGAAAATAATGACAGTTCTTCAAGTCAACAAAACAGGTTTTTTTAGTTAAATTCAACAGGCAACTATGAGAGCTTAATTATATAGAGGACTTACATTCTCGTGAAATTCACAAAAAAATGGTCAAAAATCCTCAGATGAATATGTGTTATTATTTTAGTTTCCTTTTTTTGGGTGAATGTACACATCAGAACAGATTACAAAGGAAAGTCTGGAAGACCTTTGGACCAAACCTCAGGTTCACAAATTGTCTCAATTTTACATTTTTGATATTGTCTCCAAAAGAGGTCCTCCATATAGTCACTGAGACATACTAAGAAGGATTAAAAGGAAAAAGTCATCATCATCTAACTCTAAACGTGCCACTTTACCACTGTAGTGCACTATTACTTAATATGTTCATAAATCCTGTGATTCTATTGTGAATAGCAAAATATTGACATTATAAGATATATTACATTGCAATTAAAAGAAATGAACCATACTTTTTTATATCCTGTCTTGGAATTTCTTCATTTTTTAAAATTCACCGAGAGCCTCAAAGAGTGGAGATGGCCCAGGCCTCTGGGAGGCCCTGAGCATAAACATCACTTTATCTTTAAAATGTGATAGTTTTAAGTAGGTGTCTAAAACTAATGGGTTGTTAATAACTTAACTATATAAACACCTAACTAACACACTCCTGTCTATCAGCCTTGCTGTTTCTGCTGCCATGTAACCAGTGGTCAGAAAATCACCAGCTTCTAGGGCAGTGGCTCACACATGCAGCTGCAGGTCAGAATCACCTGCGTTTTCCCAGATCCCATTCCAAACCTCCCGAATTAGACTCTCTAGGGCTGGGTCCTGGGGATTCTATGCTTAAAAAACGCTCGACCTTTCTTCCTTCCTGCACTGAATTTCCATACAATTCTAGGACTCAGAATTCAAGCTAGTACTGTTAGTGCTACAGTTCATCTGCATCGAGAATTAACATATCTGCTGGCCAGGTGCTGTGGCTCATGCCTGTAATCCTAGCACTTTGGGAGGCCAAGGCAGGAGGATCACTTGACACCAGGAGTTTGAGACCAGACTGGGCAACATAGTGAGACTCCTTTATCTGCAAAAAAAAAAAAAAAAAAAAATTAGCCAGATGTAGTGGTATGTGCCTGTAGTCCCAGCTACTCAGGAGTCTGTGGCAGGAGGATCGCTTGACCCCAGGAGTTTGAGGCTGCAGTGAACTATGACTGTGACGCTGCACTCTAGCCTGGGTGACAGAGCAAGACCCTGTCTCAAAAAAAAAAGAAAAAGAAAAAGAAAAGTTTAACAGATCCCAAGGCCAGTAGGCTAGTTTGAGGACCAATCATCAATTTCAATGTAGCTTCTCTGAGGTGATGTGTTACAAGTTCCTGACAAACAATTTAGCAAAGAAGTTTGAGGACACAGTTCACAGATTTTTTTGTGGTGGAGGGTATATGGCCCACATAGAACTTTTGATCAAAATACCTTCAATTGTTCCTCAAATTTCTAATTGTGCCTTACTATATGAAATAAACGAATGCCGAATTGAAAGTCTTAAGTTCACGTGTCAGTTCTTGTAAATAATGTGAAGTACCAGGTTTTTATGGGCAGTAAAACTTCGACTAACCCAACCTGTCAAACAACTCAATATTTTCCCCCTTAAAGAGGCAAATATGAGGAAAATAAGTTGTCCACACAAAGAAAAAACAAATTCCTAGATATGGACTGAGGTAACTATACATGCTGTGCATTCTCCCATACCCCTAGTTCTTCGTCCTAGTAATCCTTCCGTACTATGGTGCTGATGCTCTGAAAAGGATTCCCAGCAAAATTCCTCATCCATAAAATAAAGATTTAATGTGTTCCTCTAAACCCAAACACACAGGACAATGTCCAGGGAAGTCAGAGGAGCATGTGCCAACTGAAGAACAAGGGTGTGGTTCCTCCTTGTCCCCAATTCACCCTGGCTCACATCCCACTTGGAGGGACTATGTCTCTGGAGACAGAGGAAGGTACTCTTCCACTTCTAACCTCAAAAGTGCAGGTAGATACCCAAGACATCTTGACTGAGGTTATATCTATCCTTTGAAGAGCTGTAACCAGAATATTTGGACATGGACCAAATTTAGAACAATCAAGTTCAAAAGGCCTGTGGTTGTGAGTAGTAGCAAATGGTATTGTGCTGATAAATACAAAGTATAGTCATAAAGGTGGGGGATTTAATCATTAATAATCCAGAATGATATGACTGTTAAAGCTTTCCAAAGGAACCAGAGAATTGAGGCAATCATCATTTAAGTGAGAAATCAACGTGGCCTTCCTTATCTGAAGTTAAGAGTGCTAGAAGAAGGGGCGCTGTGTTTGGATATGTGGCCCTGTGTTAAGACTGAGTTCCCAGGCTGATCTCCAACCACCTCTGCCTGCCCCGGAGATATCTACCTTCCACGCGATCTGGTCTGTGGCAAGTCCACAGATGCTACACTCATTTTTTCCTCCTGAATTATCAAAATAATTGCCCTTCAGCCCATGCTTCACTAACCTGTAGATAGAATCCATTCATTTATCTATCACATGGACTACAATTGCTACTTGCAACGAAAACCCAGGAAGTCGAATCCCTGCTGCTGTTCAAAGTGTATAATTAGCTCCTTGCGCAGCCTGACCTCACTGATTTTTCTGACGCACGTGGCCTGCAATGTGCCCTTTCTGAGACCTCCAGTGTCTTCTGCACAGCTGGAGATGCCCAAAGCTGCACGCAGCACTTCCCGTGGGCGTGGCCTTGCATTTTTAAGCCTGCGTGTACCTGCCACATGCTGAATGGATCACACGCTTCAACCACTCACAGACTCACAAGGCTTTTTACAAGACAGGCGTGGACTACGAGTGGCTCTATCAGATACAAGAAAGTTTCCCATCCCCTCTTTTTCCTTTTAGAAATGATTTTGTAATGGGGGCCCCTCAAGAAACACTATAATTGGTCAGCCTGGGGTGCGTTCGAAGGCCTCCCGATCACGTCATTAGCTATTCCAGGAGAGGAAAGGCAGGGTATCCCCCCTGGGAGAATGACAACACACTCGTTTCAAGTTGGGGAAGAGCCCGTGGTTCTCTTCCTGCGTTTGGGGGAAAGCGAACACACAATGTTCATTTCCTAAATATGGGATGTGCTGTGCTGGCAGGTCATTTCCCACCATGTCACATCCTTCTGGCCGAAGGCAGCAGGGGCCAGGGCAGGAAATGGCAAATTCTCAGAATGAGACAAGGTTTTCCCAGGGCAGCCATTGGTCCTCTGAAACTATAAAGCACGCTCATCCAGAAACGGCCTCAGATTTTTCTTTCCTGGAGGCAGCCAGAAGTGAATGGTAAGCGGGGAGCCTCGAGGCATACTATCTGGAAAATAGCCATTGGACTTGTAATAATGGGGTTCTGTCCTTACTCCATTACATATTTGGGATGGGTTTTTCTCATTTTCTCTTTTTACCTGGGAAACTTATTCCTGGTGGGTTGGATTATGGAGGTATGCAAGTAAAATGAAGAATCAAGCCTAAGATGAGGTTTGCACTGTTCGTTCTAACTAGGGCTATTCATTCTAAGACTAGGCTCTGCGAAGAATCAGCTGCATCTGGAACATGTCTGTGTTTCAATTCCCTCATCTTCCAGATGGAAATAACAATTTCTGCCCCATCTCACAGTTTTGCAATGCTCTATTTCTTTGGCTTATTTGCCACTCTTAAGACATTTCTAATAATGAAGAGTACAGTGGATATGAAGGTGGGAATCTCTGGCAACCAGCAAAGATGTACTTTTACCACCAAGATATAAAGTTCTCTCTTTCTCAGTCATCTTCAATTGGTTTCAATTCAATTTGGTACAAGTTAGCCTTCAGTGAGGGAAAGAACAAGAATTCTGGCCACTTTATTTTATTCAGCTGTTACTCATTTTTTAAAGGAAGCTTTCATAACAAAGAGACATAGTGGCATTAATTTAATGTAATTTAATTGTAAGCAACCATCAGAGATTGAGATTTCTGAAGACCAGAAGAGCCCTAGTTAGAATAAATAGTCCTAGTTAGAATGAATAGTGCAAACCTCATCCCAGTCTTGCTTTTAAGATAAGAGCCTGGAAGAATTGCAAGAGGAGAGTTGCTTCAAGCAAGCATCTAACTTAGAAAGATTAGTTTCTTGTATTTGATAGACAATACTGCTTTCAAGGTTTTGGTGACTTGTCTTTTTCACTTATCAGAGAAAGGGAGAGAGAGAAAACTGTGTTGCAAAACTCCTAGGATCCAAATCTTCATATAATGAAAGGCCTTTGTAAACTGTACAACCTACCACTTGGAAAGTGTTATCTTTCCACCAGAGCAAAGGCCTCAGTATTGGAGGAGCCTTCTAATACTCCCCAGCCCTATTAAAATCTTATTTAACAGCATAGCGAGGCGCTGCGGCTCATGCCTGTAATCCCAGCTACTCCAGAGGCCGAGGCAAGAGGATCACTTGAGCCCAGGGATTCGAGACCAGCCTGGGCAACATAGTGAGAACCTCGTCTCTTAAAACGATCTTATTTAACAGATAATGACGCCCATTGCTAGTTCCCTGGGAGAGAAGCAGAAGATATTTCCATATGCGGATGTAAGGTCCTGGGAACTTGTGGGACTCGTCCCAGATCCCAGAACCGGTCTTTGTGAACTTGACACATGACCCACTGGGAATGGACCCGTTTCCCGTGGCGTGACAGTAGCAGGTCTGTTGAACTCTGGAGGACTCCCGCTTGCGCACGGGAAGCGCGAGCGGCCTCGGCGGCAGGCGCGGAGACTCCGGGCTGACTGCGTGTCTGTGTCCCCGCAGGGCATGGAGAGGACCGCGGCCGCGGAGCCGCTGGGTGCGGACGCGCTGCGGCGCTTCCAAGGGCTGCTGCTGGACCGGCGCGGCCGGCTGCACGGCCAGGTGCTGCGCCTGCGCGAGGTGGCCCGGCGCCTGGAGCGCCTCCGCCGGCGCTCCCTGGCGGCCAACGTGGCGGGCAGCTCGCTCAGCGCCGCGGGCGCCGTGGCCGCCATCGTGGGACTCTCGCTCAGCCCGGTCACCCTGGGGGCCTCGCTGTTGGCGTCGGCCGTGGGGCTGGGGGTGGCCACAGCCGGCGGGGCTGTCACCATCACGTCCGACCTCTCCCTGATCTTTTGCAACTCGCGGGAGCTGCGGAGGGTGCAGGAGATCGCGGCCACCTGCCAGGACCAGATGCGCGAGATCCTGCGCGGCCTGGAGTTCCTCTGCCGCTGGCAGGGCTGCGGGGACCGCCAGCTGCTGCAGTGCGGGAGGAACGCTTCCATCGCCCTGTACAACTCTGTCTACTTCATCGTCTTCTTCGGCTCACGTGGCTTCCTCATCCCCAGGCGGGCCGAGGGTGCCACCAAGGTTAGCCAGGCCGTGCTGAAGGCCAAGATTCAGAAACTGGCCGAGAGCCTGGAGTCCTGCACGGGGGCTCTGGACGAACTCAGTGAGCAGCTGGAGTCCCGGGTCCAGCTCTGCACCAAGTCCGGCCGTGGCCACGACCTCAGGATCTCTGCTGACCAGCCCGCAGGGCTGTTTTTCTGAGAACACCCTTTGCCCCCAATGACCGAGGCCAGAAACCATCCCCATGGGATGCTCCCGATTTGCAGCTCTCTCAGGAAAACACCAAGTCGGGTTAGGAGCTGAATGCAAAGGATGAGAAAAACTGTTCTTGACGTGGGTGGGTCCCCACAGCCCTTTTTCTCCCGTTGTTGTGACATCCTGCCTGGGCTTGAGTGCTGGGGACTTTTCACTTGTGTCATCCTAGTGGAGTATGTGACCTGAAAACTCTTTTTCTTTTATCAAAACCTTTCTGTCCCCACACAGCTGAGCACTTCCGTTTTAAAGTTATTTAGGTGTCCCCACCTCTGCCCTCCTGTTTTGAGCTGAAGCTGGAGAGGGTGCCACCCTCTGGCTACTCTCCAAGTTCCACTAGGCTTTGAAGTCCTCAAAATGCCTGTGAGAGGAGACACTGATTTAAAATCTGTCTTCCAGAGTTTCTGATACAAAGTACTCCAGAATCCAGAGCAAATCAGACCCCCTCTGAACTCCGTAGGGGGTTCAGGACCCAGAGGAGGCTGTGCTGATATGCCGTCCCTGTCCTTTCAGCATACTCACTCAGCTCCAGCCTGGGTATGAGTGGCCCTTTCCTGGGTGGCTTCCTGTCCAGGCTCCAGGGACTCTGAGAGAGAAGCCAACCAACCAGTCACCTAAGTCCTGCCCCCGTCGCTTGAAGAAGCTGAGGCCAAGAAAGAGGAAGTGATTAACAGCTTCGTTTACTGACCAAGACCTTGGGGAGAGAAGAGAGCAGTGGGTTTTGAGTTTAGACAGTCCTGGGTTTATCATAGGTTTTGTCACCACTCTGTGAGCTTGGCCACCTATCTCTCTGACCTTCTGTAAAACAGAGATGATTAAAAACCTCACCCTGTTGTGAGGTGCTAAGTGAAACAAAGTGCCTAGCACGGCGTGTGGCCCACAAAACGTGGTCCCTGAATTGTCAAATTGGCATCATGCAGGAGCTTGTTAGAAAGGCAAATTCTTGGACTCGACCTCTGATTTATGGAAACAGAAACTGTGGATGTTGGGCCCAGCAACGTGAGTTTAAACAAGTTCTCTGAGTGATTCTGATGCACATTAAGGTTGGAAAATCACTGCCACAAAACGTTAATTTCTGGTCCCCTCAGTGAGCCTTCACAAAGTCTCACAGCTTCTCTAGGGACTCCATGGTCTTCTGAGTCATTCACAGAAGGTCAGGGACAGGCTGTGTCCCAGAAGCCAAAGAAAGAAAGAACGTGTGTGTGTGTGTGTGTGTGTGTGTGTGTGTGTGTGTGTGTGTGTGTGAATGCATCCTGGGGCCATGTCTCACTGTATGAACTAAGGGATGTGTTATAACATAGTAAACCCTTTAGAGGGCAGTGTTGCTCACTCATTGTAGAAACTGGTACAAAAGGAATGTGAATTTATCTAAAATTGACCGTTCTCTATTCCCTGAAAACCACCAGTCCATGTATTTTTTATTTATTTTAAGTTTGTAATTTAATTACTGTGTGTTATTTGCATTTAATTTTATTTAACCACCGCATTTAGAAATAATAAATATAGCAAGTTTCTGAATGGGAGACTAGTGGGGCTCTTTTCAAGAGATGAGATTGAGTTTGACTTCCTAAGGCAGGGCATGAGCTGGAAATAGCATCACTTTTCTTGACTTAGTCTCTCTCCTTTAGGGGAGATTTGTTTTTCTCTAGTGTTTTAAGTGATCCTTTTAAGTAAGTGTGGAGAGTTCTGAATAGAGAGACCAGGAGCTGAGTTTAAGCTTGTAATGGAGGCTTGAATCATGGGCTGCATAAATGATGAAGCATATTTATCCTGAAGGTACTTTGCCAGAAGATAACTCTTGACCTGGAAAGAGAACCTATTTAGTTCAGGAAAAATAAAAAAACATTAGAGTCATATGAAGGAAGCACTTAGACCTTGGAAGCCTGATGTCTTACGAAGTTAGGTCTTATGGGTGATGAACAAAATAGCTTGTTTTATGGTGGTATTGTGGTATATTTTCACTTTGGGGTCTGTAAAAAATTTGTCAGCTATGTCTAAGGAAATATTTATGATCTCTTCAAGTTCTATTCTTAATAACTAACTGAATGTTGAAAAATAAGTTGGTTAAGTCTTTGGGACCACACATAAAAAACCTGGCTGTTATTTAATTATTTAATATGCTATACCTCCACCTAGCCTACCCCCATGCTTCCCAATGATGGCAGTGTGTCTGAGAAAGTATAATGTTAGCACTGGGGGTGGGGAAGCTAGGAATTGGTGTTTTTATATTTTTATTTTTTCTATAAATTGCAATTGGTCTGTATCCTGGTTTATTTTGAAATTGACACTGGTATCTTTTTGATCTGGTGTCGTTTTCTAGAATGCCTTGCACAGATGTTGGCATTTTTGATTACCAGAATGTACTTCACATAGTCATTTGTGTTATGTCGTAAAGGTACAACTATTCTCTAACTCCATATTTTATTAATGCTTAAGTTTAAATTATATTCTTCCAGTGCCTGAGCTATTCTCTAGAAATAAACTGGGCACTTTTGGAAGCAGCAGCAGAAACAGCAACAGCAAACTTTTCCTATATTTTGAGTAAATCAAAGTTCTAAACTTCTGAAGTTATTTCAGTGGCTCACTTTACATCTAAGGAAGAGTGTGTGCTTTGGAACAATACTTTGCACATAATAGGAACTCAAGACATGCATTTGAATAATTTAATTAATTGTTTGACTGTATTAATAGGAATTTGTTGATAATGAAAGATCATCTGTCCTCTTATGTGTCTGTTATGAAGATTGGAGCCTTTACTTTACCAGGATTTAGTGAAGTCCAGTTAGATTGATCCTTGAGACAAGTATGTCTTTATTTCTTTTATGGGAATGTTTATGGCTTTTCTTTAAGGCCTTCATTCTATAATCAAACAGATTGAAAAAGTATGTTGTAAAGGGAAGAAGGGAGAGGGGTATTTCAATTATAAATGTACTCCGCAAAAATGTCATAGTTTGAAAAATAAATGCATTTATACTAAATGTTTAAGTGCTTCCCTGTTATTTTCTTGGATTTACAATCATTTGAATTGTTTCGTTTCACAATAAAGGAGACTCATTTGATTCTTCATTTCAAGGATTCAAAAAACATATGCTATTCCATTAAAAAATAATCCTTAGCAAACATTCTCATCCCAACCACTTTGATGCACTTGCCCTCGGGCACCTGTCCTTTCTGATATGGTGAATGTCAAGTCAAAAAGAGAGAGAGAGGAGTGGCGTAGGAGCCCCCAAATCAGATATGTCAAACAATCAGCCAACTTGACATACTGATATATTTCTCATTCAGTATCTTGGTGTGAAAAGAAAGCCCCGGGAATTGAGACATTGAGACAAAGACATTGTGCAGAGATAAATGGGGATACAGTTAAATGTAGCAACTTTTTTTTTTTTTTTTGAGTCAGAGTCTCCCTCTGTTGCCTGGGCTAGAGGGCAGTGGCGTCAGCCTAACTCACCGCAACCTCAAACTCCTGGGCTCAAGCAATCCTTCTGCCTCAGCCTCCTGAGTATAGCTGGGACTACACGTGTGTGTCATAATGCCCAGCTAGTTTTCTCTATTTTTAGTTGCCTGGCTAATTTTTTTTCTATTAATTTTTTTAGTAGAGACGGGGTCTCGCTCTTGCTCAGGCTGGTCTCAAACTCCTGACCTCAAACAATCCGCCCGCCTCAGCCTCCCAGAGTGCTAGGATTACAGGCGCGAGCCACCACGCCCGGCCTAAATGTAGCTACTTTTTTTTTTTTTGAGACAGAGTCTCACTCTGTTGCCCTGGCTAGAGTGAGTGCCATGATGTTAGCCTAGCTCACTGCAACCTCAAACTCCTGGGCTCAAGCGATCCTCCTGTCTCAGCCTCCCGAGTAGCTGGGACTACAGGCATGCACCACCATGCCCGGCTAATTTTTTCTATATATATTTTTAGTTGTCCAGATAATTTCTTTCTATTTTTTTTAGTAGAGACGGGGTCTCGCTCTTGCTCAGGCTGGTCTCAAACTCCTGAGCTCAAACAATCCGCCCACCTCGGCCTCACACAGTGCTAGAATTACAGGTGTGAGCCACCACGCCCAGCTAAATGTAGCTACTTTTGAGTTCATTTTTCCCTCACTGTAACAAAAGTAGTCCTTTCCTTTTATTGAAATAAATTGCTCATTTCTCAAACTTTTTGATCTTTCTGTAATTAATTACCTAGTTCCATATTTGCCTGTGTATGAATTAGCAACATTGAAAAAAGGCAGATGTTTAATCATTTTAGAATATTCAGAATATTCAGCATCAAACTATATGAATCAATTTTTAAAAAGTAATTGGTCCATACACAGGAATTCCCTTATTATCTAGAAATCAGACTTCCAGCAGTCTCAAAACCTTTGAATATAATTAATACCTGGGAAGTAGTTGAAAAGAAACCTAGAATCAAATTAGCCTTCACAAAACCCAAACACTAGACAGAAGTGGACAAAGAATGTGGGGAGGTCGGGGTAGTGTCTATACCAGGACGGCAAAACTTTCTCAGAAATCTGCAGGGGACTTCGCCTTGCAAGTCACTGCTCTTAACCATGCAAGGCAGGCTGGAAATGCAGTATTTTTAGCTGAGAAAAGTTCTGCCCCCAATATACCTAGGATTCTGGTATATTGGTAAGGAAGAACAGGAGGGTGGCCATTGTGTAGGGGGTCCAGCAATCTATGCAAAAAGCCTGTTGTGATTGCTGCAGTCAGTTTGGAGATACTGCTCCGGAGGTGACCTCACTATCTAAGTGCTGGCCTTTGAGTCTGTACCTTGGAAACAATCCTGGGTCTGGATGTTGCTCTGTTAATGACTGTAACAAGCAAAAAAAAAAAAACAAAGACTACGTTGGCAGGACCCTGACTGTTTGAAAGGCCAGCCACAAGCTGGGATCCTGTCTTTGCTGAAGCATATGGTATTCCTGTAGTAACAAGTGTCCTTTTAGTTGATTGCAATAAATCTCTTGTTGAGTTGACAGGAGGTTGGGACGTTACTTTTTGCTCCTGGCAAACCCATGAGAGCGAAAGTAAACCCTGCTGTGGTCTGGAATAGGACAAAGAGTGAGCCCTAAGATCTGGAAACAATCTCTTAGCAACCAGGGAGCTGTTAGGAGAGGAGAAATTGTGCTGATGAAGTGAGACCCATCTAGGGGCCAGGAATGCACGTTCAGGGTAGACCACCTGGCTGACATTAGCACTGGGTTGTAGAGATAAGACTCTTCCATATGGTCTTGCCTGCACAGATAAAGATTGTCTATAGGAAGCTACATCTGCAGAAAATGACATTTAATCCCATCTTGTATTTCCGATGTAACCCCAGGGGTAGGAGGACGGCCAGGCCTGTGGCATGATGTGCCCCTGAGCTCTAACCATGGGTCACAGCCAAGGCTTTTGCCTCCCTTATACACAGGAGCAGCCAGATGCTGGCTTCTTGCAGCATTTGTGTGGATGTGGTTGC